TAGCTACATCTTCCTACAACGACAGGAATTTGGGGGTTTCGGGTTTGGGGTCTTGGGAGGTTCGAGTTGAGGTTGAAGGTGGCCAGTCAGGCTGACTTCAATAGACTATGATACACTATGCTAGAGTATACTACAATATACTACAATACACCTATGCTGCTTCACACTTCCTGCCTCATCCGCAGAAAGGTGATGCTGCAGCAGGGCCAAGTCGTCCGCGACCCGTCCGCTCTCGGACCTGGTGGAGTACTTGACTCCCCGAAGCACCGCCTACGGTAGGAATGTTAAACATACGGTTGATGGTAGAAATCCATAGTTTAGGGTCCTTAAGGTAATGCAGAATTTATATCACCAACAGTATGACTATAATCGGCTTTCAGGCTCACAAGGCAGGGAGTCTAACAGCGAAAATTGGGGCGTGTAAACGAGAGACAAGTTCGGGATCGAAACGAACACTCCGTGAGTTGGAGCTCGCCTCCACCTTTCACGATGAAGCTTCAGCGGTGCCAAGTATAAGTAGCCAGTACATGCCGATGCTCAACCCAAAACACCTGCCTGCAGGTAGAGCAAGCTTCTGAATCGGCCCCAGCAGACGCCACGAAGATGAGCGTGGTAGACAGGACGATACGCACCTCGAGCGTGGACCCACGAATGGCTGAATCGTGAGGTATGCATACCCGGAAGTGGCGGGCTGTCGGGACATGCTCACCAACAGAATGAATCTATGCAGACTCAATTCGACATTTTCAGACACACATACCAAGCAGGACGCGGATCGCTGGAAGATGTAGCTCAGGACTAGTCTAGCATGCATGTGCGCTGCCTTTGCCGTCAGATCCCTCCAACTTACCTGCATCATTGTGATCAGTATTCCTCGCACTCCTCAAGCTCCCTGAGAATAAGTGTCGCTGCAAGCATCCTGGCATCAATGCTGCAGAGACGCAACAACGGAAAGGGGCACCATTTTTATCACGGGGCGACACCCTCCAAAAAAGTCCCGGATGCTACTGTATCTCATGAGCCAATAAGACATGTGTATATATATATACACATATATAAACATATGGCATGGGCATTCCTCTTAGCTCACTTCAGAGGGTGACCAGCTCCGTGCGGCTAAAAATGCCCTGCAAACGATAGAAAGGTTGCTTAAATCAGGACTGCTTCACCCCCCCCCCTTATGTAGAAAGCCGATAGGATTGGCGGCGATTTGGACCCCTGGGATGCGTTTTCGGAAAACAGGTTTTGTGCCACTCGTTTGGTTCAGAAGGCAGCCCATGGGGTTTAGGGTTTAGGATTCAGGGCCCATTTGAGGGCCGGGGCCTTCAAAATCTAGTTATTGTCAGATTTGACCTTTTGGTGAAGGGCGTAGGGTGTGGACGTAGACCAAGACCAGACGGGCTTTTACGGCTCAGGGGTTTGGCCTCAATATGGCTGCAGGGTTCGAGGGTTAAGGGTTTTTTGGGGGGTTTGGGTATTTTTAGGGTTTTAGGGTTTAGGGTTTAGGATGGTTTAGGGTATAAGGCGTATAAGGTTTCTAGAAGGGTTGTAACATTGTTTTAGGGTTAAGGCTCTGCATAAGGGTTCCATACTCCGATGTGTTGACAGGAGCCGGGGAACGAGATACCCAGAAGCTGAGCCATGTACCTTAAATCAAAGAGAGGCAAATAACTCGGTGGATTTCTGTTTTGACGCTTCTTTTCGCTTGCCTCACAGCTCACAGTCGCAGGAAGGCCGGAAAGCCCAGGAGCTTTCTACCCTGAGAGCTCCGAAACGTCAAAACTCCAAGGTCTCCACGCGGGCAGTGACCCCTGATTCGCAGTTTCAGTTACTGTAGCAGTAGAGGCACTAGAGCAGAAGACAACACAACCCATCCAATGCAGTTCAAGACACTTCATCAACACTCCCGCCAGCTTCGGTCTGGGACAAGCTGTTTGCGACTGGCTGCACTGAAGACCCTGGACTTCGTCTTCACGATCAAGACTTATCGCCGTCACCAAGATCCGCAGCGGCATCCCAGGAACCCACTGGCTGCGCGAGCAGAGCAGACACGTTTCAAGAAGGTGAAATCGCCTTTCACAGCGTGCTTGGCGAGCCAATAGCGGTAAGGCCAGGTGAGACCGAAAATGCTGGACACCACGGTAAGGCCAGAAGCCCAAGCACCGCGGAAGCCGATCCCCGGTGCCAACCATGTCCGAGTAGAGCGTGAACGAATAGGGTTTAGGGTTTAGGGTTTAGAATGCCCAGCCTGATGGAGGAATTTCAGACGCCGCCGAGCGTCTCAAACTCTTCGACCCGGCTGGGCATTCCTTCACGCTCATGATGCGGTCCGTGTGTTTCAGACGAAGAAGCCCCCGTGCTCTGGGGTTAGGAAACAAGACCTCGAGGAGATAGATTGCATCAACGAGAAGTAGACCGCAGTAGGACCCATATCCAGGACCTCAGGATGAAGATTGCAGCGGCCAAAGTGGCAAGAAACGCTAACACCCGTGTCGCACATCGGGTCCGACGGCTCGAAGGTGCTGCGGACTCGCTCCATTCGGCTTGTAGTTGCAAGTAGCCGCGAGAATCCGGTGTCGGAATACCATCGATTTTTCAAAGCGCCAAGTCCAATCGACCATCCCGCGATATCCACAAAAACGAGACCACCTCCTTCCAGAGTGGCCCCAGATATCAAGGTGATCAGCTTGAAGACGTACGGATAAAGCCCCAACTGGTACACCCGAGAGCCTAACCCGAATCCTGTATTCCGGAGACTTGGCTCTAGTTTGGGAGCGGCCACAACAACCGGCCTTGTAAAGACTAGACCCGAGACTGCTTCAGCAAAGGGGCAACGGTCCGTGAGATTGCTTGGGATAACATAGACAGCATTAACCCTAAATCCTAAACCCTCAACTAGCAAAGTCCTCCTTGGTTCAGCCTTGACCAGTCGGACTGGATGTAACTACTGTAGTGGAGCCTGAAGTCGTTTGGCACCCCTCACTGCTACAGCAGACCCAACAACAGCATAGGGCGGGGTAGGTCAGTGATCTCGGGTCTCCAAGCGCAGATAACTAACCTTAAGGTTCCATCTCTGAACTCAGAAGCCCTACACGCGGTATGCTTCTGTCTGATCCGACGTTGGGATTGAACGCGATCGACAAGATTCACCAGGATTCACACATCTCAGCTTAAAGCAACTTCGTGTCTTGTGGTCCCGGCTGCTCTCTCGACCTTCGCCTCAACAAGCATCATCGCTACTATTCCTCTTAGGTTCTATTCTTCTGAGCTGAGTTGCTTTTGTTATTCTTCTTTCGAGGTCATAGACTTGAAGGGGATGAAGGGGATGAAAACCGGACACTGGTGGAGTCACTTCTCATCACCAGTGGCCTGAGCCATCGCGCCCCTGAGACAAAGAGACTCCCGAAACCCACCCAGAAAAACATCCAAGGGAAGATTACAAAGAGGGCCCTGCACCGAACCACCATTGGCCCCCCTTTTGTAGCCGTTACCAGCCTAAGTAGCATTGTGGCTTGCCTGCTTTGCAGGGAACCTTCTCCAGGTTTAGAAACGGTTGAGAAGCCTTGGCCGCAGCTGTCATGCGAAGCTCGTCGATCAGGCGGCACCAGTTGGAAGAGAGGGTGCACACCCAAGCATCTGACTCCAAGGCCAATTCGAGGTTCATGAATGCCGACAAGACTTCTGTTCTGGTTGCCTTGCCCGGTCTCAAATGCATCCAGGGATCGTAGTTCGCTCGCTTCTTCTCAACATACGTCACGTTCCACCCCTGCCTGCACAACTTCCGAGCCGCTTTGATCACAGCCGGGTCATCTGTTGACACAAAGATATTTCGTGCTGCAAAGGACTCAGCTGGATACCGAAAGCTGGCGTTGCTCTCAGCCACCTCGCGGTGCAAGATTCGCAAACCTTGGCGCCCCGCTGCAAGCCGCTGCATCTCGCGAATGTAGTCGCCCCTGGGCCAATGGAAGAAGCAACTTAAGCCACAAGCTTCGTTCCCCAGTGGTGGGGTCAATCCAACAGTAAATTGTTTGTTCTCGCTTACCATCAGCCTAATACTACAAAAGTTGAACAGGCAGTCGTCAATCTAAGGCTCAGGTCGTGCTCCACCACCCTCTCCTGCTTCTTGAAGCCATGACGCACAAAGGTCGCGATGCTTCCAGTGGCCAGCACGCCGGAGGAATTTGCATGCTGGCCACAGGAAACCAAGGTCTCAGATCTCAATTTGTCAATAGCATGCCTCGTCCGTTCCTGAAAGCGAAGTAGATATGTGATGGACTGAGCCCGCCACCAGTAAAGCCAAAAGTCCTTCTTGATGGGAGACTGTGCCAACATCTCATGAAAGCGTGTAGGCACAGGTCGGGTAGTCTCAGTGTAGGGCTTGTCTACTTTCATGACATCCCCATGTACATCCGCACACAGACCTATCTCTTGGAGCCAGCACTGCCAGCTGTGGGCGCCAGGGCAAAACCTCTTGTCATAGTACTGAAGCAGTGTATCCTTCACAGGGACCACGAGGACTCTGTCCAACTCCATGGCCAAAGCCAAGGCTTGACCAAGTTGATGCAACATTGATCCAATTCCACTGGGTCCCGATCGAAATATCAGGATCTTGACGTCACGGCAGTCTCTTCTGGGATGCTGATGATCCCAAATCATCCGCTGCGCCCAGGCGGTACCGTAGAGTATGGCCTTGCGAGATGCGCCCTGCTGGATCATGCGCCAGGGATACCTCTTCGCATCCCAGCCGCGGGCCAAGAGCTCCTGATCCAGTCTGAAAGCTTCCTGGGAGATGTCACCGAGGCCCAACTCCAGCTTGTAGATGTGATTCTGCACAGGCGCTTGTGGCGCCGGGTGGGTGCCCAGGGACTCGGAACTCTGCACAGGGGATGAGATGTTCGAAGGCACATCCTCCGTGACGTTCACCGCTCTGGGCAGGTCTGAAAACCTGATGCGTTCCGTGGGCTTGAGCGTCCCAAGAAGGCACACGCCCAAAGACACCAGTAACAGCAGACGGAGAGCTGAACTTCTTGCAGGGTTCATCTGAAGCTGAGCCAAAACGCCAACGAGTGAAGCTTTTGCCAACTCGGCCTGGTTGCAGGAAAACTCCACCTCGTTGCAACAAACATGGGCAAGGCAAAGGGCCAAACCCCTTGGATCCTTAGACCCTGAACCCTAAACCCCTAGCCTGAAAAGCTACGGGTGCGGGCTTCAGGGCTGGGGACTTCGGTTTCATACCAGAATAGGGTAAATACCAACAACGAAGCAGAATCATCGATCTACGCGGTTCGTGTAGCTTCGGGTGAGGGGGGGTATGCGGTATGCATCTACTGAAGGTGTTGCGGTGGGCAGCCTCCTCGGATCGGCCTTTCCTCTCGCAGGCCTCTCCCAAAGCCACTTTGGGCTTAGGAACGAGCGAGGTGCGACGGCTAAAAGGCGAGAGCACGAAGTCTAACCCCTAAACTACCCTCCCTTTCAGAAGACCCGGTAGCTCTAGACCAACTCCTCCCGATCAAACCCTCCGAAACACCGAACGGGTTTAGGGTTTAGGGTTTAGAACGCCTACTAGTAGTCGTCGTCCTCTTCGGCGAGGAGGCCAGGGGGACCCGGCACGGAAAACTCCGAAGCGTCAAGCTCGAGAAGAATGTCCTCCAGATCCTCGCCGCTATTTGGGGCTCCTAAACCCTACACCCTAAACCCTGAAGCCCTGAACCCTGAACCCTAAGCCCTAGACCCTAACCCTGAACCCTGAACCCTAAACCCTAAACCCTGAACCCTAAGCGCTAGACCCTGAACCCTGAACCCTAAACCCTAAACCCTAAACCCTGAACCCTAAGCCCTAAGCCCTGAACCCTGAAACCTAAACCCTTTGGCGGCTGTCTGATCGGGGTTTTCAGATATAAGGCCTAGGGGATCGCGGCAATACGAGTCGAGGCTGGGTAAGGGGTCTATAAGGGGTTTAGGGTTTAGGGTTTAGGGGTTCTTCCATGTTCGGATTATCGTTGCTAGACGATGCTAAGAGTACCATTCATGAGTTAAACCACACCCAAAGTCTTCGAGCTTGGGATTTCAGGAGCTTTCTTTCAGTTTGTTGGGTCTTCCGCTAGTGGGTCTTATAATGGGCTTAAAGTCTTGCTTGGGGTTGTGGGATTTTGGGGCTGTGGGATTTTGGGGCGAGGGCCCCTAAACCCGACACCCCAAACTCCGACTAGCCCAAGCCCAAATCAAGGGCCCCCACAGCCCCCTAAACCAACCCTGAACCCCAAAGCCCGCTTTAAATTACTAAAAACCCTGAACCCGAAACCCTAAACCCGAAACCCCGAAACCCTGAACCCAGAGCCCCCGAGGCCCCCGAGCCCCCGAAAAACCCCCGAAGCGACCTCGTCTGGAACCGCGCCGGACGCACAGAGCTTCAGCTGGGTGGCCCGCTCCTAGGTTTAGGGCTTTAGGGCTTTAGGGTGTGGGGTTTAGGGCCCAGGGCTTTGGGGTTTGGGGTTTAGGGTTTGGGGTTTAGGGGAAACCCTGAACCCTGAGCCCAAGGCTCTTTTCCGGCCTGAGGGCTTTAGGGGTTTAGGGCTTACGGGCAGGATTTTGGGCTTGGATCAGGGTTTAGAGTTCAGGGTTCAGGGGGCTTAGGAACAAGGATTCAGCGGGTTGAGGTACGATACTCTCCCGATTCGCATCTCGCCAAAAGACTTGCCCTCAAGTTCATGCTTCCAAAAGACCCGACGTGTCTCAATCCCTGTCGTGCTGTTGTGCAGGCATGTCGGCATGAATTCTGGTCGCGGCTGCTGCAGGGTTTAGATCTGAGGGTTTGGGGGTTGAGGGTCGAGGTTCAAGCTCTAGGGCCCTAGGGTTTCGGGATTACGTGTCGGGCTGAGCCACGAATAAGCCCTAAACCCTAAACCCCTAAACCCTAAACTCTAAATTGGAGCCCACAAACAACCACCTGAGATGACCTGATGCCTAGGGGCGGAGTCCGGCCCGTAAGCTACCACGGCATTCTCCCAGGCCTGGAGGTCTTGCCGCAATGGCGGGGTTTAGGATTTCGGGGGTTTGTGGTTCAGCAGCTCCGGGGGGTTTAGGGTTTAGGGGTTTAGGGTCACTGATCTTGAAGCCAAGACAAGGACATAGTATTCTCATATTGAGACGAGCCAGAAGAACGGCATTTCGAGAATGGTGCAGGGCAAGACGAGGCACAAGCCAACAACGGCATACACGTGTAAAAACAAGTAGCATCACCAGAACCAAGATCGTAAGACCCATCGGCAGCAACAAAAGCAGGCAGATCGATCGTAACCATGCCGAACCTCGCACTCTGAACCCTCAAACTCTCACAAACCCTAAACCCTAAGCCCTAAGGCCCTTAACCCCTTAAACCTTGAGAACCCTCAAGCCCAGGGGGTTGGGCTTGAAACTAGGGTTTAGGGTTTAGGGTTTAGGGTCTAGGGTTCAGGGCGCAAATAGAGACATTAAGCCATAAAATCTCCAAGAGAGCTCAATACCTCCTGGTGAGCAAGGTAGGCTAAACCAGAATCAGCAGCCCCAATACAATTGGGCTCTCTGGGCGAAGCCCTAAACTCCGAATATAGGGGCCTTCATCTTTAGAATATGGTTTTGGAGTATCTTATCCTATAGTTAGATTAAAGAACCCCCGAAAATAGTATTGGTAATTATTAAGGCCCCTATATTCGGGCCCAAGTGACAGAAGCGGGTATGTTGAAGGCCCCAGTAAGGCATGCAATGGCCGCATAGCGGAAGGCGGTACGCTCAGGAGCTTCGGGAAGATGGAGGGGCGAGACATCGGACAAGTGCGCCGCCTTTTGCAGTACCAAAATGCTGGCTTTCGCTACCCGGGGAGAAAGCGCATGAAGCAGAGCACCGACGACATCCACACCCGGCTTAGGCATGTGGGGGGACGATGCATCGGACAAGCATATCGCCTTTATTCTGCAGGATGAGGCGGATAGCCCTCAACACCAAGAACGTGAGGGTAGTACACCGACCATCGGCATGTGCTTCGGCCAAACGCGTGGCGATGCACTGGATAAGTGCTTTGCATATCTGCAGCAAGACAAAGAGGCATACGGCTTGTGCTACCAGGAGAGCACAAGCAGAACACGGAGCGCTAGGATGCACATCTACATCATGCGCTTCGGCAACATGGAGGGCGCTTCATCCGACAAGTACGTCGCCTTGAGACTGCAGGCGACGAAGTATGTGGCATTTGCCACCAAGAGCATGAGGGCACGCAACAGACCGCCGACATCCACGCCTACCTTCTGGACTTCAAACAAAAAACGGAGCCTAGAAAACGGCATCTGGAGCGAAAACCTGTTGATGCTGGCGCAGAGATGCGGACTAGCCGTTTTGGGTTCAGCGGTGCAGCACCTTTGCAGCGACTTTTGAATTCAGGTTTGTGGGGGATAGCTTGAAGTTGGCCTCTACCGACCCTAGAGGAATGTGCTCAGGCTAGACATAATTTTAGGTTCCCGCTGTCATGCGCACGTTTTGGTGCGACATGCTTTTGATTTTGGGTGTGATGTGTTGCTTGCGCTACGGTTTTTCAGCTCTGAGCTACCGGTTTCATGCACAGCATCCTCCGCAATCGCTCAGATTACTGCACGGTGCACTGCTGAGCAGATCGCGAGCGCAAACTGGGGGTCTGCACTTGCTATAGAATTCATCTAGGCGCGTTCGTTCTGGACTTCAACCTCACGAAAGAAAGAAGGCCCCTATATTACACCCTAAACTTCGGGCTTTGGAGGGGTGGGGATATGGGCACCTCTTCGGCCATGCTCTTCGCGAGGTCGGCGTCACCGCCTTCCCAGGCAAGCCTTGGCGCGACCCGCGATGACTCTGATCCTAGGGTTTAGGGTTTAGGATTTAAGGTTTATGGTTCTTCTTCTTTTTCTTATGGTCATTGTCTTTTGCTATGACTCTTCTTACTGCTTTTGTTGTCATAATAGTTATGATGACTATTAATGCTGTTCTTGTTGTTCTTGCTATCGCTATCTTCTCCTGTCTTGCTATTCATAGTATTGTTGCTATCATTACTACCATTATTACTGGTGCGGTTACTACTACTCCTCGTACTACTACTAGTACTACTACTAGTACTAGTACTATGACTGGTGCTAGTACTAATACTAGTACTAGTAGAAGTACTAGTACTAGTACTAGTACTAGAACTAGTACTAGTACTAGTAGTAGTAGTCGTCGTCGTCGTAGTCGTAGTCGTAGTAGGAGGACGAGTAGGAGTAGGAGTAGGAGTAGGAGTAGGAGTAGGAGTAGGAGTAGGAGTAGGAGTAGGAGTAGGA